TACAGCGTTTGGGCTGGATAATTTCTCTCGTATTTTAAAAGATTTATTTATTACATATAGAGAGAGGGAGTGTGCACATTGTGGGGGAGGGCAAGGAGAGAGGGAGAGAGAGAAAAATCTTAAGAATCTTATGCAGGCTCCACACTCAGGTCCAAGCCTCACTTGGGGCTCGATTTCAAGACCCTGAGATCAAAACCTGAGCCAAAATCAAGAGGTGGATGCTTAACCAACTGAGCCACCTAGGTACCCCTAGGCTAGATAATTTCTAAGAGCCCTTCAGATTCTGAGATACTGTGGCCACAGAGACAGGGATATATTGACCTGTGCTGTGTCACATCTTTCCACTTCTTGGGTCAAGAATATCCACAAATACTAAAGCATGGTTTTACACTATACTTTTTTTAATAAGGAAAAATTATTTCAGAAGGATAGGTTGACAAAGGACATGGTGAATTTCCAAAATTAACTGTGAAAGACAGATCATCTGGGCATGACCTGAAAGCCATGCATAACCTTTGTGCTCAGATATTTCATTTCAAAAATGTCATTTTCTGCTTATTCAATGCTACTGTCATTATACTATTTTAAGCATTAAAATTTGTGTTCTGGAGCTGAACAGGAATTATTGCTTCTATCTTTGAGCTTATTAGAAATAACTTAAAATTCATTCAGGGGCAATAAAAAATCACCTTTTTTATTATAGTTGAATTTGGTTTAATATTGAAATTTGCAAGCAATTTTCTTTGTCTTTTATTAGCAGTATTTCAGTCTCTCTATATATAGATCAAGACTGTTTTTAAGTATTCTCTAAAGAAATGACTGTTTAAACATGACTTTTTTCTTTAATTTTTAATTCCCTAGAGTGAGGTAAGAGTAGAATAAATTATGTGACAATGTTGTTTAAAATTTCAGGCACTGCCTTATATGAATAAGCTTTAAAAAAAAAGCATACATGACAGTTGAAACAAATTTTTATTGCTCAATGAATTATTTACCCAATTGCAATTGGGGATATGGAGTGGGAAGCAGATATTATCTGGAAAAAAAGTCTCCTGATATGAAAGAATGAATCTGTTTATTCATCCCAATCATCTATAATTTACTTAACTCTTTAGTATCTAAATAATCCTCAGTGCTCTCATTTCAAATTTGGATCAATACAAAGGAAGAGGACCAGGAAACCAAATGTGCTTTTATTATACGAATCTGCCTGAATTGGGTTCTTTTCATCACACGGGGAAAGGGAGAGTGGGTAAGCTTGCACAGAGGATGAAGCAGGCCTTGGGCAAGGCTGGCTGGGGAACTGCTTCAGGTGGGGGGCAGCAGAACAAAGTGGAAGAGGGAGTCAGCATGCCAAAGCAAACAACGTCAACAGCAACAACAAAAAGCATCCAGAAAATGGGTCAGAATAAAAAACACAAATCAGAGATTAGAGAGTTGACCAAGAACAACCAGAATTACAGGCTATTGGGTGGACAGGTGTCTCTGGGTGGGTACTTGGGAGGAGTATTTCTATGTTTAGATGTCATTGCTCTTTGTGACATGGTTCCAGGGGATACGGAGATATAGGGCAGGGGCAGGTGAAACTTAAATTGAAAAGACTGGGAAGGGGCACCTGGGTGGCTCAGTGGGTTAAAGCCTCTGCGTTCGGCTCAGGTCATGATCCCAGGGTCCTCTGCTCAGCGGGGGGCCTGCCTCCCCCTCTCTCTCTGCCTGCCTCTCTGCCTACTTGTGATCTCTGTCAAATAAATAAATACAATCTTAAAAAAAAAAAGAAAGAAAGAAAGAAAAGACTGGGAAAGAGCTGTAGTAATTTTTAAAATAACAAAGCTATCTCAAGTATTTGAATGCCAGAGGATGGAATTAAAGTAGGCGCTTATCATTCAGCTATACAGTGTCTTTATGCAGGGCTCAATATATACACTGTTATCTAAGTCAGTTTGGGCTACCATAATAAAATATCATAGATCAGGTGGCTCAAACAACAGACATTTATTTCTTCTCAGTCCTTGAGGCCGGAAGTCCAAGATCAAAGTGTTAGCATAGTTGGTTTCTGCATAGTTGATTTCTGGTGAGAACTCTCTTCCTGGCTTGTAGATGTCTGCCTTCTCACTGGATCAGCACATGATGGTCCTAATCCCACCCACTATGAGGACCCAACCCTCAAGACCTCATCCAAACCTAATTATCTCCCAAAGGCTCCATCTCCAAATACCATCACATTGTTGGTTAGTGCTTCACATATCAATGTGGGAGAAATGCAGTTCCATCCAGGGCGATGGTGAATTTTGATTATGTAAGAGTCACCATTAAAGTCACATATTATATTTTCTTCCCTTTGTCAGACACTAACTGTGCTTGGTTTGGCATTGAAGTTGTCTTGACAGTACAAATGGATTATCTATATTCCTTCCTTATAAATATTTGCTCTACTTAATTCTGTGTTATGGTCTAGAATAGAAACTTCTTTCTTCAAACATTTCATAGATATGAAGTACCTTTATTATTATTATTATTTGTTCCTTTTGGCAAAGAGAATGAGTGTCATTTGTTCACATTTTGAGTGCAACCCAAGCATTGGTCTTGTCTATTCCAAAGAGCACCTTCTAATCTATGTGGGAAGAGGGACACTGGTATCATGTCACAACCAGCTCTACCACTGACCCCTCACTCTCCTGGAATCCTGGGTAATGGTCTTCATTCAGCGTAGTGCCCCTACCTAGGCATGGGCTCAGATGCATGAATTCTGCCTGTCTTGTTATTTTTTTCCATACAACTACCCAAGTCTAGGTGGGGACATTGGACTTCAGTGAAGGGTCAAAAAAAACAGAAGTGCACCATAATTTAGAAAGGATAAAAATGCTAATCTTATCCTAGCTATGACCACTCCCATATAATGAAGTTATTATCTCATGGACACACTAATTCCTAGCTTTAGATTAACCCTCCATTCACAGAGCACCTCATTATTCAGACTTCTCTCTTCTAAGGATTTCCCCTAAATCCACACCATTCAGTCTCTAGAATTCAATAATCAGTGGCAAACATTTTCCCAGCATGTGAGTTACTTAGCCTAGAATGAGACCCTAAGGTGGAAGATAGCAGGAAACAAGCTTTAGAAGAATAGTCTGGATAGGCTTTTGTTCTTCTGGGTCCCCACTCGATGTACCCCCAGTACTAGGTCAACTTCAGTCAGTGATGTATAATTTTACTTTATACATCAGGCTCAGATTTTTGTATATAATCTGATGAGTTATTTAATTCATGAAAATTAACATACACAGTAGATTTTAAAGCCAGTAAAATTTAAGACCAGTGGGAGATACAGAGAGGAGTTATTGGTCACTTTGCATCTCTCCTAAAGAATTGTCTAGGTAATTTTTGTCCTGTTATGTCTTTAGGCTTTTCATTTTTGGCACTCAAAGACTCCACTGCTATAACCCCCTGGAAAGCAACATCTAGTTTTTTCTTGATATGAATTAAAGGAAAAGTCTAGATACATTAAGAAACTTCCCTTGAAAAAAAATATTTGATTGTAGTGAGTAAAAACATCATCATGGGCACAATAGGACAGAATATTTGAAAGCAGGAATGGCCTAGAAAAGTGACATAGCCCCTTCTCTAGAATATTTGATGGGTCTCCGTTCAGTGAAAGGAGTGATTGATGTGTAGAGCAGCAGACTGACCAATCTCTAAGCACTTGCTTCTCCTTTATTAAATTTTAGAAAAGCTCCTGGGTCATAGTATGCTATTTAAACAAAACAAAAATGATTTCAGGTGTTTCCTGATTTGTGTCTTGAGATCCCACCTTCCCTTCAGGCTGCAAATTATAGAGAAGCCTGTTATTTTCTCGATAATTTTATACCAATAAGCTATACTGTCACCTTATATCATATGCTACCATTTACCACAAGTAACTGTGTTCTGCCACACTGCATAATAATGATAATCGTTGTAATCATATATCAACACAATGAGATAATGAGATAATAACAAGATGTCAGTACCTTCCCTGCATGCTAAATAATTGATTTCAGTTACAGACATGTTGCCAGCCTATTCTACCTTACCGTACAGTATCAGGGTTTATTTTTCATTACTAGGGGTGTTTCCTTCCAGCAAGGTGTTGAGCACACTGGTACATATATCTGTTGTGAGTTTCCAAAAGATATTCTTGAAGCTTATACAACATTCTCTGGATTATTTATTTACTTATTTTTTTTTTTTTTTGGTAAGACGCTTGAGGGGGTTCTGTCATGTCAGTGCCACATACCTAATAAATTCATTCCAAGATAGCATTTGTGATATCATAAGAGATCTCATGAACAAAAACAGACAAATACACCATAATCAACACTACCTGGAGATTTAGAGATTAACTTGTCTAGCCTCATAAGATTTTCACATCAATTTTCCCTGAAGTATCAGACCCATCGGTATAGAAGCTATTTATCTGAACCAAGGCAGAGATTAAGCTTAGCAGGCTGGGACATTTTTATCCTAAATGAAAGCAAGATGTGATCATGTGCAATAGCCACATCATTAAAAGGGTTCAAATCCCATGGTATTTTTGTAACCATTTGTGCTAAGAGAAACTTGATTCCCCTCACCCCCTTGCTCACATAATTCTTGGAGGTTAATCTTTAGGAAATTTATGGTTGTTTTTATGGAACATGTTTCATCTGAAGGCTTCTATTTAGAAATTCTAAGGCAGAGAGACGAATAGCCCCAGTTAATGCATTTTTCAGTGTCAGATTAGTGATATTAGCTTGAAGATAAATACTACCATTGTTCTGTCATCAGGTTTTCCTACATATGGAAAGTGTTTGACTTGTTTGATTTTTAATCTTAGCCTCAAACTAGAAACGAAGCAGATTACCACCGCCCCCAAGCCTCCACCAAAAGTCCATAGCAGTAAACCCAAGTGCAAGTCCTGTTTGAAGGCTTTCCTATTGTACTCATCTATTTTACTTTTCTGTTCTTCTCTTTTCTTTTTGTAGTGTCAGCCAAACCCAGACCCCACAGTGATGAATATTCAAAGAAGATCCCTCCTCCCAAACCCAAACGGAACCCGAATACTCAGCTGAGTACATCTTTCGATGAAACGTACATCAAGAAGCACGCGCCTCGGAGGACGTCGCTCCCTCGGGACCCCTCTCTGTCCCAGGTCAGCAGCCCGGCGGGGGACCCCGAGGAAGAGGAGCCCGTGTACATCGAGATGGTGGGCAACATTCTCAGAGACTTCAGGAAGGAGGATGATGACCAGAGCGAGGCCGTCTACGAAGAGATGAAATACCCCATCTTTGACGACTTGGGCCAAGATTCGAAATGTGACCTTGACCATCACAGTTGCTCTTCGCAGTGTGCTACTCCCACGGTGCCTGACTCGGACTTCGCCAAGCCCTCAGTGCCATGTACTCCAAAGGGTTTGCTTTGTGACATCCCCCCGCCCTTCCCCAACCTGCTTTCTCACCGACCCCCGCTGCTGGTGTTCCCTCCCGCTCCCGTGCAGTGCTCCCCTAATTCCGATGAGTCTCCGCTTACCCCCCTGGAGGTCACCAAACTGCCGGTGTTGGAAAACGTGTCTTACATGAAGCAGCAGGCTGGGGCATCTCCGTCCTCCCTGCCCTCTCACGCCTCCGGCCACCCCAAGCTGGACAAAGATCAGGCCGCAGCTCTGGGCCCGGGCCCCGCCGCCGCTGCCGCCTCCACGCTGTCCTCGTCCCCGCCCCCGCCATCCACCCTGTACCGCACCCAGTCCCCCCACGGCTACCCGAAGAGCCACTCGGCCTCCCCGTCGCCGGTCAGCATGGGGAGGTCCTTGACCCCACTCAGCCTCAAGCGACCCCCGCCCTACGACGCCGTGCATTCGGGCAGCCTCTCCAGGAGCTCTCCATCAGTGCCTCATTCGACCGGCAGGCCGGTGTCGCAGGATGGGGCCAAGATGGTCAATGCCTCGGTGAACACCTACGGCCCAGCTCCGGGCGCCTCCCGGTCCAGGACCCCTACAAGTCCCTTGGAAGAACTAACCAGCCTCTTTACCTCTGGACGAAGCCTGCTGAGGAAGTCGTCCAGCGGCCGCCGTTCTAAGGACCCCGCAGAGAGTAAGTGTACAGAGTCTATGGGAGCCAGGTTTCCGACTTAAAAATAAAGCGAAGCCAGGGGTGTGCAGATGAAGTGCGGAGTGCAGGGCCTTCAGTTCTTTGAGTTGAAATATCAAAGTGGGTTATTTCGCTTTGCCATGCTGAAGGATAGTGCATTCTGAAAGAACTCAAAGTGACAATTGGCCTAGTGTAACACATGCTATTGAGAGGAAGAATGACTCTTTAAACACTAAAGTATAGAATCTGAATTGTTACAGGGGCTCTAGAAAGTCTAACAAAGTAAACACATCACTATGGAATTTTTAGGTAAATAACTTGATTTTTGAAACAATGTGTCTATTTAAACATAATGATAAATGTTAATATTTATCTTTATTTTATATTAAAAATCCACTTAAGCCAATCTCTATTACAAAGCTTTTGCTGGAAAAACAGAAATTTGGATAGAATTTAGTATTTTTTTTTAACATGGTGAATGATTCTCCCTGCATACTTCGTGGGGTTATTATGTTCTTACATTTACCTTAAACTAGAAAAGCCTTCTTGCTTCTCTTTTAACACCTTTGGTAATTAGTATCTTACTCCCATGGTACTCTTCCTAGGTCCACTCATACATAAATTACAGAAAAATCAGTAAGTGATAAACAGGTGGTACAGGTTATATTTACCATTGAACTTCAAAGAGCAGGAAATGTCTCTATCTGAATGACTAAACCATCTTGTGAACCCCAAATCACTCTGTACATATACAAGTCAAAGTCAAGTCAAACAGATCCTTGTTTTCTCAGTGTCCATTGTATTAAAATACACTGCTTTCCCTTACTTAAAAATGCCTTAGGCACCTAAACTAGTAATTAACCATTTTTCATCTCAGATTATCCCAACACAGGATTTTACTTATCCACTTACCCAATCACACTGAGTTCCTTCTTTAAAGGGGGAAAAAAAAATCAATATTTCTGATGATGAAGATGGTGATGGCACTTTTTTTCTTAAGATTTATTTATATATTTGATAGAGAGAGAAAGAGTGGGGGGAGGGGAAGAGGGATAGAATCATTCAAGCAGACTCCCCACAGACCGTGGAGCCCAGGAGGGGTTCAGTTTCTGGACCCTGATCATGACCTGAGCCAAAACCAAGTCAGATGCTCAACCAACGGAGCCACCCAGGCACCCAGTGGTGCTGGTGCGTCTTAGATAATTAGTATTCATTCATGTTAGAAGCCACATATCCTGCCTTTTTGCTTGTTTGTGCACAGAGATTTATGAAAGTATTACTGCTTAAAAATTCCCCACTGAAACATTTCCTTTACCTGACTGAAAGACAAAAAATTCTAATCTATTAGACATGTCTGAAGTGAAGTACATGTGTATGTGCATACATTAAACTATTTTTTGACTTGAAATAAAACTTAGGAACAATATACTTCTAAAATAGTGGTTCTCAGCCAGGGCATTTTGGCCCCTAGGGAGTTCTGGCAATGTCTGGACACATTGTTGGTTACCACAATTGGAGGTACTATTGATATCAACTTGGTACAAGCCAGAAGTACTCCTTAAAAGCTGACAAAAAGGGACGCTTGGGTGTTTCATTCTGTTAAGCATCTACCTTTGGCTCAGGTCATGATCCTGGGTCGTGGGATTGAGCCCCTCGTGGGGGTCCTTGCTCAGCAAGGAGCCTGCTTGGAATCCCTCTGCCTGCTGCTTCCCCTGCCTGTGCTCTCTCTCTCTCCTTGACAAAAAAAAAAAAAAAAAGACAAATAAGATGATCTGGTCCACAATGTCCATACTGGCAAGTTCAGTAAACCTGACCTATTATTAAAGACTCAGGTTTCTTCTAGATGATTGATTTGGTTTAAGCACAGATCATTTAAGGTGTTTGGAGCAAATTGGAGAAACAAAAATGAAAGGATAAGATTTTCTTTCAAAATATGTAATGGTTAGTGTGAAATTAATGGGTGTTCGATGCTAGATTTGGTGAAATTATTGGAGTTTCTCCCTACCTACCAGTTTCTTTGGAGGATTCTTAACAGCTCCAGCTGGCAGCTATACCAATTAGCTAGAAAAAGTATATGTAAAAGAAATGATTAACTAATGAAGTTATTTCAAGAAAAATCCATCTGTTAGAATTTGTCTATGTGCTATATGTCACAGACTTCTCCATTCGAGTCCAAAATGAGCTTTGTGTGCTTCTAAAACAAAGCTTATACATGGAAAAGTGATCCAGGCTCTTTATAGCTTTTAGAGATCTGAGGATTAAATTCCTTCCTATGTGCTCTTAACTATGTATCAACTCTTCAGAGAAAGGGCATGTCTTGAGTTACGTTAACTTCAATATTTTACTTCACATAAAGGGAAAGGAAGAAAAATGCAGATAGCACAAAAAATAATTTAGTGTTATTTACTTTTGACTCCAGAAGAAAATGCTTTAAAAAGAATCATAGTGGTGGGATGCCTGGGTGGCTCATTCAGTTAAGCATCTGTGTTCAGCTCAGGTTATGATCTCAGGATCCTGGGATCAAGCCCTGCATTAGGCTCTCTGTTCAGTGGGGAATCTGCTTATCTCTTTCCTTTTGCCCCACCGCTCCCCCCTGTTCATGCTCTCCCTTGCTCTCTCTGTCAAATAATTAAATAAAATCTTAAAAAAAAAATCATAGTGGCTCTTAGATCCTTTCTGTAATTCAGAAAGTAGATCCAACATTGTTGGTAATTGGAAGTTATCTTATAATCACTGGTACAGTACACTCAGTGATGCAACTCTCCCCTTTATTCTTGCCAGATAAGATTTATAGACACTGCTAATATCATAGGGACAGAATAAGTGATATGAAGTAATATAACATTCATGACTTCTAAATCTCAAATATCTTTTTTCCTGTCCTTTTCTTTTTTCTTTTCTTTTCCTTTCCTTTCCTTTCATTTCCTTTCTTTTCTTTTCTTTTCTCTTCTCTTCTTCTTCTTCTTCTTTTTTTTTACATTTCAGAAATAAAATTAAGGCTGGTATTTCTATTCTCCATACCCCCTGGCTTTACTGGAAGTGCCAATTTTGATAATTTTCTAATATTCAATTCAAAGCCAATGTAATATTTCTGTTTTAATTTTAAAATCAATGTCAAATTAAATATATACCTTAGGGGTGCCTGGGTGGCTCATTGGGTTAAGCCTCTGCCTTCGGCTCAGGTCATGATCTGAGGGTCCTGGGATCAAGCCCTGCATTGGGCTCTCTGCTCGGCAGGGAGCCTGCTTTGCCTCTCTCTCTGCCTACTTGTGATCTCTCTCTCTGTCAAATAAATAAATAAAATCTTTAAAAATAAATAAATAAATAAATAAATATATGCCTTCAACTCTTACTTTTATAATCTAAAAAGATACATTTAATTTTATTTCATATCTTAAAATCTTACAACAGTTGACAGAGATTGAACAATAGGAAAGAAATATAATAAGACAATTGTGGTAGACTATGAACCAGTTTCATTTCACTGCATGATTTTCTAAACATGGTCTTCACATTAAGTGTTCTAAGGAGTATTTTTTTCCTTGATTGATGGGACATTGTCATGTTGCTTAGCTAGAGATAAGGACACTTAATAGTCTCTCTCACTATAGTAAATTTTATTTGAATTGGTTATTATTTATATTTCTTAATTTTGTGCAGAGAGATAGTCTACAAGTCATGTAAGAAGTGATTCACTTGTATTTTATTGCTGTAAATTTTTGTCTACATGAGAAATAGTGAAGTACAAATATGTTTATGGTGAATTTGGAGTATTCACCATAATAGTATTTAAAATATTTTTCTCCTCAAATAAGAAATATTTTTTTAAATTTATTTATTCAACAGAGATGACAAGTAGGCAGAGAGGCAGGCAGAGAGAGGGGGAAACAGGCTCCCCACCAAGCAGAGAGCCTGATGTGGGGCTCGATCCCAGGACCCTGGGATCATGACGTGAGCTGAAGGCAGAGGCTTTAACCCACTGAGCCACCCAGGTGCCCCTAAGAAATATTTTTAAAAGAAAGGTTTTGCCTATATTTAATATAAATGTGTGAATATATGCTCCTATTAAAAAGTACAAGACACAATGAAGAATATAATTAAATACTATGATGTACCCAAGGGAGAGTATAGGATAGAAAAGAAATATGCGGAGAAATGTTAGCAGAAAATTTAAGGAAAAAATAGAAACATGAAACAGTAAAGGGACTAATTCAAAGACTAAGGCAACAAGGGATATACAAATAAAATGCACACACAGGGTGGGATCAGCACATAAGCCCTCATGGACGCCAGCATATGAAGCACCTGCAAAGGTCCACATAGAGCTAGCAGAAGGACATAGAGACACAGGGGTGTAAAGAAGGAACAAAGAAAAACAAAGATGTAGGCTCCCTCATCTGGTATTGTTATTAAAAGAATGGTGAGTCAGAATTGCTAAAGAGCTTCATTATACACATTAATATTCCACATTAATAGAGATGCCATTTCCTACTGTTACATCTCATCTTTCAGCCTCTTAAAAACGCTACCATTTAAGATGTTTAGACGTTGTGCTGTATTTTTACAATTATAAATGTAAATAGGTCCTATTGGTTTCATGAAACAAACTTAGGAAACAGATGTAACCTTTGCTTTTCCATTCATTTTCTTAAAAAACACACACACTCACACAGAAACAACAACCCAAAGGAAACATGCAAACAAACCCAAACAAACAAACAAACAAAAAAACAACAAAAATCAAACAAAAAACAAAAATCAACCAAAAAAAACTATCTCCATGCCCCTTCCATCACATACCCACAATGCCCCCCCACACACATACACCCTTTCCCCTTTTGTAAGTCATTTGAGATACAGTGATGCTAAAATATTGGGTACGGATGGTGAAGCAACTGATCCAACCTATTCTTACTAGTTTGTTTGTTTTTTTTTAATTTTACTTATTTATTTGACAGACAGAGATCATAAGTAGGCAGAGAGGCAGGCAGAGAGAGATAGAG